TGGGGTTTGAGAGCTCTCTCTGCACCTCTGTGGTTCTGCCTTTCAATCGATGACGAAGCAGCCGCCGCTGGAAAATGTCCCTCTGGGAAGGATAAGTGAGGGAGGAAAAAAAGCTGGACAGGAAACTGTAGCAACTGCAATTTTTTTTTTTTTTTTTTCCCCTTGCAGATTTTTGTAAAAGGCAAAACATGAACCTTGTGTTGAACTTTCAAGTTCCTGACTTTGCATCTCCCGAGTCTGGAGATACCGGTTCTGACAGTCGTATGCACGGAGCTCTTTTAGCATTCCGGGTTATATAACAGCATGGAATTTCAGAAGGAAGGCAATAAAACCCTTCTTGAGCTGTCAGCATCCGTCTGAAATGCCCTGCAGCTTCTTGATGACCTGTAATAGATTCCTGATCTTCATTTCCCCATCCGGCTCAGTGCTGGATTTTAATTTGCTTCTCGTTGCTGGGACTTTGGACAAGGCATGGAGGGACAGGGCACAGGGAATGGCTTCCCAATGCCAGAGGGCAGGGAGAGATGGGATATTGGGAAGGAGTTCTTGGCTGTGAGGGTAGGGAGGCCCTGGAATGGATTTTCCAGAGAGGCTGTGGCTGTCCCAACCCCAGAAATCTTCCAAGATCAGGTTGGAGCAACCTGGGCCAGTGGAAGGTGTCCCTGCCCATGGCAGGAGATGGGACTGGATGAGCTTTCAGGTCCCTTCTAACCCAAACCATTCTGGAATTCCCTGATTCTGAAGCTCCTTTTCGAGGTAGCAGATGCCACACCCCGCAGAGGGTGTGAGGGTGTGTGGACTTCCATTCCCTTTGGGATTGATGGGAATTTGCTGTCCTGGCCTGTTCTGCCAGCTGCTGACACTGCTGCTCTTGGGTGGTGGTTCCAGCAAGGCCTCTTGGCATCCCTGTAAGAGGTGGAGCAGTGGGGACATCCAGGCAGATCCCCCAGGAGATCCATATGGGAAGGAAGCCCTTAAGTCCCTTCCCTGGCTGCTGGCAGGGGCCTCTCCTGGCTGCACACTCATTAATTTGGAAGATACTTAACCTCTCTCAGGAGGTCTGGCCGGTGACCTCCCCAAGATTAGCATCTCCTGCAGCGAGAAGGCTTTACCCTGTAATCCCCTGCCGGGAGAGCTCCTGGCTGGCCGTTCCCTGGGGGATGTCCTGCAGGGGTTCGGGGCAGGGATCGCTCCTCGGGGCACTCCCGGCACGGGCTGGGTGGCCAGAAGGGCTCTTTGGGCTGGATTAGCTGTGCCCTGGTGGGGGAGGTGGCCGTGCTGATCTCTGCAGAGGGATGAGAAAACAAACAAATCTCCGCCGTCAGCAGCTCCGCTGAATGTCCTGCTCTCTTTGGGATCAGTGCAGGGAAGGTGCCACTTGCATGGGATCCTTATTTTTCCTGTCAGAGGCAAGTTTGCTTTGTAAGTACGCTGTTACTGGTGTTTTTTCCTTTAAGCAAGACTTTGTAAGCTCTAATCCCACCCTGGTTTATATTATCAGCGCTCGTAACCGGATTTTCAGCTACCACTGAGCTTTAATACTGACTAAAATTGCTTTACAGGTTTGTGGGATCTGTCAGATTTGCATTTCGTGTCGAGTGCACGATCTGCTGCTGGCTCATATTAACGGGCACTTTCAGGGCTGGTCCTTGGAAGAGTTTGGCTTCTCCTTGTTGTTGCTTTTGTGTCTCTTGTTTGGAGGTCGGAGGCAGAACATGTGTTTTGGGAGGGGCTGCAGGGCTGGGACTGAGAAATCCTCTTTTCTGAGTCCTTGGGATCACGTTTGTCCTGTTCCAAGCTCGATAAGGAGGAGCTGAATATTGGGATGGGGCCGGGATGACGAATAAGCTGGAAGTGCCCACCTTATGGCTGTAGGGCAAAGAACTTGGAAAACACTTTGGGAATAGCAAGGGGGGGTTTTGCTAATGTTTATCCTGACCCAGCAGTCTCTGTTCTCTGGGGTTATCCTGGCACTGGCTGCAGGGAAGGGACGTTTGTTCCAGGCTCAGGAGCTTTGTCCCTGCTCCTGCTCTGGCTCTGTCCTCTTGGCCCCCTCCAGAGCTCCCTGGATCCCTCCTTACGTTGGGATTGCTGGGAAGCAGTGGTTGGATTGGGTTTTTAATTGGCACCTGGTATGAAAATATTGTCTGGAGAACGTGCAGGTCTTTGGTTCAGATTTCGAAGGACTTGGGGAGTGAAGTCACAGCTGCTCCTGACCCAGCTTTGGTCTGGCCTTTGGGGCTCTGCTGGAGCTGAGGCTTCGCTCACACCACTGGTTTTGCTCAGCTTGGTTTCATCTGATGCCACATGGAAATGTTTCCCTGTGCAATTCTGTCTCCTGTACAGTTTGTTCCTCCTCCAGCCCAGCGTGGGCTTGAGGGAGGTTCCCCTCCTCACTGGAAGGCATGAACACAACCTGTCCACTGCAACAAAACCAGAGGGGAGCTTTGACTTCTGCTTTACCTTTATAACCCTGATTTTAAGGGAGATCTCTGATCGTGGCAGCGTGCCAATGTGTTTTTGTGGTCTAAAAAACAGATTTATTGAGAATATTTAGAATTGGAGCAGTGTGTGCTCTACAGCTGCTCAGCATTCGTGTGGGTCCAATCCAAAAATCAGCTTTGAAGAAGTTCTTGTCGAATGTTTTTAACTGCTCCCAGGCTCTTCCTCGCGCTGTCAAGGACTTTTAGTGTCTCTTTTTTTTTTTTTTTTTGCTTTAAATAGAGTTTTATAGACACACAAATGACAGGCTCCTGTCTGGAGGAATTTCCAGTACAATCTAATTAAATCCCTTGCTGTTCTGCACCACAGATAATCGTAAATAATAATAATGTCTCTTGACACATGTAGTGGCACTTCATCTTCAAAGCGCTTTGCAGATGTAAATAAAATAAAATAGCATAAAAATCATATTATATTATAAAATAAGATATTAATGACATATTTCCTGCTTGAATTATCGGCCTTTCAGCCGCTGCAGGACTCGGGGCTCGGGCAGCGTTCCCTGGGACAGGGGGGTTGTTGCCTCCGTGTGTCCCCCCGTCCTTTATCCCATGGAGGAGGCAGAGCTGATGGAAAGCCTGGCCAGGGAACCTTCTGTCTCCTGCTGCTGAAGTGAACCATGGCAAATGGAGCCATGTGGCAGAATAAAAGCTAAAAGCCACTGGCAGCAAAGCAGCGTCCCCGTGCCAGGTCCCACCGCTCGGGGGGCTCTCGGCAGAGCACAGGGCAGGGATAACTCCAGGGATGGGCAAACTGCATTTGTTCCAGGGCAGCTCTTCAGTGCCTTCTCTGGAAGCCAAGGAGTAGAAGATCTTGTGTTTGCTGGAATTGTCCTTTGAATTCCCAGTCTCTGGTTCTGAGTGCGTGTAGGCCTGAAAATAAAACATGTTTTATTTGTGTTTGGTTGGATCAGAATCTTTGTAGGATCTCATCTACAATTGTGAACTCCTCTTAGGGCATAACATTCCTGGAGTGGAAAGTGTCCTTTCCCATGGCAAGGGCTTGGAACTGGATGGGATTTTAGGTCCCTTCCAACCCAAACCATTCCAGGATTCATTCCCTGTTACCGCTTATAACACTGACATTCCTCCTGCCGGTGCCACACCTGGCAGCTGGCATTCTCCATATTTCGAATTTCAGTGGTGAAAAGGCATTTTCCCAGCGTGTCCCTGGCTGGGTGGTTGCTGTGGGACAGCCCAGTTCAAAGGTGGGATGGGGAGAGGGGAAGCAGAGCCCCTGTCTCACCCCTCTGAGCTGCTGCCAGGTGAACCCTGGTGACACCACTGACCCCACCCAGCCCTCCATGTGATGCCTCAAAGGGAGTTAAAGCTCATTAATTCTTCTGCTTTCCTGGGGATTATCTGGGAAGTCCCAGCTAAAGTGTATTTCTGTTACCAGCTCAAAATAGGGCCACGCAGCCCGTCACATGCTCTGACCCTGCACAGCCCCAGCCCCCAGGGACAAGGGGGGGCCTGCAGCTCCAGGGTTTAATTAGAAATAATATTTAGGTGTTAATCACAGGTCCTGATGTGTCTCCAGCTTCATGGAATCCCCTCCTGCTCTTCTGAGAACAAAATCTCTGAGCAAATTGCTGTTGCCACTGATTGATTTGTACTGGTGGCTTTGCCTTGTTTTATCAAGGAAACACAAAAGCCATTTTTCCCTCTTAGTCTTTCTCAGTCACTTCCTTATTATTAGAATGTTTAGAGTCTCTATGAATCTCAATTTTATTATTTTTGCCTACGTGGTACCAGGTTGTTGCTTTTATACCCCAGCGTCGTGTTTTTAATTAATTCTTTAATTAATTCTTCCCTTCTGGTCCCTCTCGGTGTTAACATTGGGGTTGCTGTTATTAACTTGTATTTAATTAGCCAGTTTTGCACTGAATTAAGGGTCGTCTTCAGGGATATCTTTTGGGGCACACTCTGAATTTCCTCTCCTGAGCTCCAGGAGTTGTTAGCCTAAGTGAAGGTGTAAATGTTAAAAGCATAAAAAGATTTATTGGCTAAAGGGCAGAGAATGTTGTTTTAGGGGATGAGAGGAGTCAGGGTCAATATTTTTGTGTGTCTTTCCAGAAGAAACTGGAATCAGTTGGGAACTCTAATGTTGTCCAGAGAAGAGTTGAAAAATTCAGGTCTCCTTAAGATGAAAACTGAGCTAAAAAGCCGTTAGTCTGGGTGTTAGTTTTGAGCCTTTCCACTGAGATTGCCCAGTTTAAAAGCTTTAGGACTTAAGGTTTTGTTTCTTGTGTACAACTGAAGGATTTTGAATAGTCCTGCGCTTCAGTGTGAGTCCATTCCTGATCCTACATGTGAATCAACGCACAGAATTCCCATTATTCCTTTTCTTACGTTGGAAGGGTTGGATCCAAACAGTAATAAATGACTCTTCTGGTCTCTGGTTTGACTCCCAGTTCCTGTTCCCCGGCGAATGTCACATCATCCAGCAGTCTGTTTCAAATAATGTTTTGACTGTGTCGCTTTCTCCTCCCGTTTCAGTGTTCCCAGGGGAAATCATGGATGAAAAGCTGTCGTACAAAGAGTTCCTGGACCGCAACGACTCCTGGTCGACGGACGAGAGGGACCTGCGCTTCGACCCGCAGCCCGTGTTCAAGCCCATGGAGATGGCTGGTAGGGCTCCCCTGCTTGGGAATCCGGAGCATCCCTGATTTTAGCAGCTCTGGGGTGTGGTGAAGTGCTGGTGTCCACCCCTACACTCGTGGTGTCCCCAGGGCTCAGCGCCGGGCCCAGCCCTGTTTGATGTCTTTGTTCGTGATCTGAACGAGGGCATCGAGGGCACCCTCAGTTGGTGTGCAGAGGACACCAGATTGGGTGGGATGTGGATCTGCTGGAGGGCAGGAAGGCTCCACAGAGGGATCTGGGCAGGCTGGATCCATGGGGTTGATGGGCCAAGGCCAGCGGGGTGAGGGTCAACAAGGGCGAGTGCCAAGTCCTGCCCTTGGGTCACAGCAACCCCATGGAACACTCCAGACAGGGGCAGAGGGGCTGGAAAGCTGGGAAATGAGCTGGGGGTGCTGGTGACAGAGGCTGGACGTGAGCCAGGAGTGCCCAGGCCTTGGCAGGGGCTGCCCAGGGAGGTTTGGAGTGCCCAGCCCTGGAGGTGTCCAGGGAAGGACTGGAGTGGCACTCAGTGCTCTGGGCTGGGGACAAGGTGGGCATCGGTCACAGGGGGGATCCATGGGCTGGGAGGGCTTTTCCACGCCTAATGATTGTATAGTCTTATGGCAAGAGCAGGTTTTGGTTGACTGCCACAGTTTAACCTCCCCTGAGAACTGTGGGTTTGGGTGCAAACCCCTCAAATCCTGCCCCCTGAGCTGCAGCCGCCCTGGCTCTGGGAAGGGGCAGTTCCAGCTGTCGTGTCACTGCTCTGCAATGCAGGTCGGGCTGTTCCCCAGCCTCTGGAGCTGCTGACTCTCCTGAAAATTAGATGAAGATGAACCCTGTATGACCCTACAAAAAGATAGACTTTCACCCAGCAACATCCCCTCAGTTTTCTCTCACTTTAGAGAAAGCTTGTGGGCGATTGCTCTTGGAGCCCCTGAGAAATGGGGGTGCTGCCCAGATCGTCACAGGGAGAGATACAGGATGGAACTTCTGGTTTTAATCTGTTTTTGAGTACTGTGGACCTGCTTAATGCATGGCTTTCCTGTGATCTGAATCCTGGATTTACGAAGAGGTTCTGTGAAGGAATGATGATTTTTACAGGGGTAGGGAATGATTCAAGAAAGAGCTGGAACAGAAGAGTCGCTGCTTTGTAGGGTTTTCCCTCCTGTTGCTTTGTGGATGCAGGAATGGGACGTTGATGTTGTTATGCTCAAGAGCCAGATGTCAAAGCTGCTGATTAGGAATAATTTACTTACCTGGCTCAATCACCCAGTAATCTGAATGGCCTGAATAATGTGAATGTGTGGGTTATTTGTTGTATTAAACCACATTTCTTTAGGTTTCATGTCCTTAGAGTGTCTTGCAACCAAAAAGTCCTTCCACTTCTCCCCTTTTTCCCTCTGGAGCAGAAGCAGGGTTTAATCTGCCCCTTTATCCCACATCATGCAACTGCTGGACAAAGAGGGAAAAACAGCAGCCTCTCTTTTAGCTTTTAATTGGTTTCAGTCATGATGATTTTATTTGGGATTTTTTTTTTCCTTGTTTTCTGGGGTTGTTTTTTCGACTGGAAAACAGGCAGTTGTTTATTCCTGGCAATACAGATCCAAACAGCTTGAATTTAAAATATTCTACGCGTTGCTCTGGGGGAAGATGTTGTCTTGGCATCTCAAATGGTCTGACAGGTTTATAATTCCCTCAGCTCACCTGATTTTGACATCTCAGAGCACCGTGGGCATGGGAACACCTGAAGTTGGGCCGCTGGCCCTGCAGGAAGCACATCTGGCATGAAAATGAGCAGCAGCCTTCAACTGAATCCCTGTTAATTGGGCAACTGGGAGAAATCTGGGCGGTGTCTGGAAATGGGGTGTGAGAGGGATTCCTTTGGCTCCTGGGTAGCACAGCACGTGACAGAGTTTGGGAAATGTCCCTCACCTCTGAGGGGCTGTGCCTGTCCAGGGTAACGCCAGGGACACCTGGCAGGTGTGCCAGGAATCCCCCATTGCGAGCCCAGGAAGGGCTGGATGCCAGGGAACACAGATGGGAACACACAGCCTGGGCTGATCCCACAGCAGGGCAGGGGGATTGTGCCCCTCTGCCCCCTCCCCAGGTGAGACCCCCCTGCAGAGCTGCCCCAGCCCTGGGAACAGCAGCTTTGCCTGGGAGGAGCAGTGGTGGGGTCAGGAGCACCTTCACCTCCTTTTTTAATGTCCCCCTGTGCCGTGTCCTCCCCCTGGGTGGTGACACCGACCTCGCTGTGTCTCCTCAGACCCCTTCAACATGCACAGAGGGGAGAACCTGCCGGATTTGTCCTTCCCTGCTGACATGAGGAATGTGCCGCTGTTCCCGGGCCACGGGGATGCTCCCAGAGACGTCCTTGGTGAGTTCCTGCCCGCCTTTCCTCCCTGCTGGAGACTTTTCTCTCTTGACTTGCATAAATATAGAAATTGTTAAGGTCTGAAGTTCACAGGCCTTTCTTCGTGCTCTTATTTTCGTGGCTGAAAACCAAATGCACGCGACCTGTTTCCACAGGGTGGTCTTGGGGTTTTGAGCTGTTGGATTATTTTATTAATATTGGATTATTAAGTGATTATTAGCAGAAATTCGTGGGAGCAGAAGCAGAGAGCCAAAGGGAATTAATTTGCCCGTGTTTACTGTCTTACACCTTGTTAAAAAGTTCTACATGAATACAGGGTTTATGGTTTGTAAAGCTGAAATAACAGATACAAACTTGAACTCAGGTGCCTGTGAGCAGAAAGGTCCAAGAGTTGTGTAGACTTGAAATCTAGGAGAGGAGTCATCAATAAATAAATAATTTAATAAATAAAGTTAAAGTATTTTATTTTAAAAGTTAAAATATTTATTTTAATAAACATTGATGTCAATAGTTTAATGAAGATTTATTTTAACAAAAAATAGTTTTTAAAGTTAAAGAAATAAAGCTATAATAAACTTAATAAATGAAGTAGATTAAAAAAGTGGAGGGGACCGGTGACTCACTGAAGGGCTTTGTTTCCTCAGCACCACACGGCCCTGGGATGGCACCTGAGCAGCCTTTCCTGGGGCCCATGTACTCCCCTGCAGAGGCTCTGGACCCCTCAGCCTTCGTGGGGCTGGACTCCAGCACGGAATTCCTGCAGGACAGAGCAGGTGAGGAGCAGCTGCTTTGCTCCTGCTGAGTGTCCTGGGGTGGGGGGGGCTGGAGGGTTTGCAGCTGGAAAATCTCAGTTTAGGAGTCAGAAAGAATCCTGGATGTGGGGGGGATTGATACCTAAACTGAAGGTGGTGTGAGCAACGTCCCTGCCAACCCACACCGTGCTGGGATTCCTCATTAGGAGATCCCAGAACAGCTGAGGTTGGAAGGAGGCTTTTCCAACCCCCCTGCTCATGCAGGGCCACTCAGAGCCCCTTGCCCAGAATGACTGAGGGAAGAAGCTCCTCTTTTGGGTCAGTGCTTGTCACCCTTCCCTGGTGGAAGCTTTCACTGGCAATAACCATGGGAGAACCTGATTTCTGGTACCTTCCTTAGTGGGACCTGAAACATCACCCAAGAACGAACCCCCAGACCAGCAGAGTCCAGGCCTTCAGCTGGGAAAGTAAAAGCACTTCTGGGGCTGGACTGAGTGTGCTTGTTTTCCACAGGTCCTGAAGAATATTGGATGGGAGCTCAGCAGGACATGAAGGGACCAGATGCCTCTTTCTTTGTTGAGCCACCAGGTAGGAACAGGAGCTGTAAAGATCTTTCTGAGCAGCAGAAGCAGCTTCTCTCCCTGTGTGCCTTCTCAAGGAACATGGGGCTGTAACAGCAAAGGAGAACAGTTTCTGCTTCTCACATCAACTGAGAATGGAAATGCATGTGTGAGAAACTAGGAATGGCTTCAGACTGAAGGGGAGTAGGGTTAGACAGGAGACTGGGAAGGAATTGCTGGCTGGGAGGGTGGGCAGGCCCTGGCACAGGCTGCCCAGAGAAGCTGTGGCTGCCCCTGGATCCCTGGAAGTGTCCAAGGCCAGGTTGGAGCACCCTGGGCTAGTGGGAGGTGTCCCTGCCCATGGCAGGGGGTGGCACTGGAAGAGCTTTCATCTCCCTTGCAACCCAAACCAGTCTGGGATTTTGTGATTAAGTTTCTGATCCCAGTTAAATCTTTGGAGCCCCACTGGGACATTGTTCCTTTGGGGATGCATCTGTGTTACCAAATTTGATCCGTGATGGGGTTTTTATTGCTGCTCTTGATGAAGAAGCTGAGGAGGGGATAGTTTAACCCCAGTCCTGGTGTTTCCGGAGCTGGGGGCTCCACCTGGGGCTCGGGGTGCATCTGGGAGGCTTTGTAGCACAACACTCCTCAACTGTGTTACTTCCCTCAGGATTGAAGTGTTTTCCCTGGGTGTTGCACAAATTAATTTCCTGAGAATGGGCAGTAAAAGGCGATTCTGCGCTGAGGGGAGGCTGAGGGGGGAGTTCACTCCCCAGGGAGGCTGCAGGCACCGCCTGGGAGGGGGATTTCCCCCCCAGGAGAGGAAGCTGCTGGCTGGGACCCTTGCAGGTGCTGTGCTCACCCCCTTGGTTGTGTTTCCCAGTGCCCCCCGTAGCCACAGAAGCAATCAAGGCGAGTTTGCCCGAGAGCCCCCCGGCCGTGCCCCCCGGCTCTGCTCCCGCTGCAGGCGCGGCGTTCCCGGCAGAGCCCGCGCCCGCCGATGGACCAAAAGGTAAATCCCTCCAGCCCGAGGGTGCTGCAGGGTGTGGGCCCTTCAAGAGCAGGTTGTGATGGTGGGAGGACATGGAAGTGCCTCTTCTGAGGGAGGCACAGCGAGGGATTAACGAATCCCGCTGTGGCTGAGGGTTTGGGATCCCGGGGGGGTGTTGGCTCTGCTGGACTTGCCAGCTCCGGTGTCTCAGTCCAGGAACTGGCTTAATGATCCTTTACAGTCTCCAGATTTGAGCTCCAGGGAAACACTGAGGTGTGTCAAGAACGTGGTTGCAATGTGGAATCACGGAATTGGGGTTGGAGAAGCCCTCTGAGATTGAGTGCAGCCGTTCCCCAGCACTGCCAAGGCCACCACTAAACCATGTCCCCCAGTGCCACATCTGCCCTGAGCCTGACCTGTACAGAAATACCTTCAGGCCTGGCTGTGTGGAAGACTCTCTTTAAAAAAAAAAAAAAAGGGTTTTAAGGTATTTGTGTGGAGCATCAGACTCATGGTACCAGTCATGGTCCAGTTCCCTAATGCTTTATTCCACTAATTCCCCTAATTCACCAGGGAACATCCATACTGCTTTTGGGACCTATTTATTTACAGTCTTATCTGTCTGTGAAATCACAATCTTGAAGTTTTGTTTTGGAGAAGATTGTGGTGTCACTTAAACCACAGCAAAGGCAGACCCAAATGAGGGTGGTGCATGATGGATCTTCTTGGTTGGCTTCACTGAAATTCTCGTTTGCTCTAAATGGATCCTTAAGTGCCATTTTAAAAGAGACCTTTTCCATTTTTCTTATTGCTTTCCTTCTTCAGTTTAGCTGTCTAGTATTCATTTTATCTAAATGGATCCTTAAGTACCATTTTAAAAGTACCATTTTTTTCCATTTTTCTTACCTGTTTCTGACTTCAGTTCAAGTATCTTACTTAGATTTAATACATTTTCCATTGGTTGGGGAGGATATTTTTAGATGTGACTCAAAAAATCGGTAGAAATGTTATTTTTGTGTGGCATCTACCCAGCAGTAGGTGGGAGATGTCCAGGTCATGGTGCTGCAGGACGTGGAGGATGGGCACAGCTTGGGGCTGTGGAAATTAGGAGCTGCAAAAGAGAAATCCAGTGCTCCTGGCACTGATAATTTATACAGAGTTGCCTCTAGACAAGGAATATTTAATAAAAACCGACTGAAAAACCTCCTTTAAGGGGATTTTAGAAGAATGGGAGCCTAAATACCGAGGTTTGATTGTGCTGTGAAATGACAAACGTTGGTTTGGAATTACCAGCTCGGTGTCTTAGGAGACGTGTGGAAAATGAACGAGGCCAGTTTGGTCAGGAAGGAATGGAGGGATTTGGGAATTCATAGGATGACTTTTGTGGCTGGACACTGAGACAACTGGAGGGCACTGGGGTCAGGGGGTGGGGTGGAAGAGGAGAGACACAGAGTCATAAAGCACAGGAGCAGGTGTTTCCATCTGCCTTCCCACTGATTCCTGTGCCCTGTGTTTGCAGCCTCCGAGGCCACGCCCGTTCCTGCGGAAAAGGCTGGCTCTGTCCATGCAGGAGACACCAGCCCTGCCCAAGCTCTGGATGCTGGATTTGCACCTTCAGCAGCAGCCAACCCCTTCCAGGCCGTGGATGTTGGTTTTTTTCCTGCCCCTGAAGCCAAGTCTCCTAAAGCTGTCAATGACAAATCCAGCCCGGGGACAGGCCTTGGCTTCTCCCCCACAGCAGATGCCACATCCCACCATGCCATGGATTTGGGGTTTGCCCCAGCAGCAGGTGTGGAAACCCACCATGCCATGGATTTGGGATTTGCCCCGGCAGAAGGTATGGAAGCCCACCATGCCATGGATTTGGGATTTGCCCCGGCAGAAGCTATGGAAGCCCACTATGCCATGGATTTGGGATTTGCCCCGGCAGCAGATGCAGAACCTCAACATGCCTTGGATTTGGGATTTGCCCCAGCAGCAGATGCTACATCCCACCATGCCTTGGATTTGGGGTTTTCCCCAGCAGCAGGTGTGGAATCCCACCATGCCATGGATTTGGGGTTTGCCCCAGCAGCAGATAATAAACCTAACCACACCATGGATTCTGAGTTTGCCCCAGCAGCAGAAGTCAACCATCACCATGCCATGGATTTGGGATTTGCTCCAGCAGCAGATAATAAATCTGACCGTGATATGGGCTCTGAGTTTACCCCAGAAGTCAACCACCACCATGCCATGGATTCTGAGGTTGCTCCTGCAGCAGAAGCCAAACCTCTTCCCACCGCGGATTCCGGAGCTGCCCCTGCTGGAGCTCAGCCTGTCCCTGCAGCTGACCCCAAAACTGCTGTGCCTGGAGAGCTGGTGATGCCTGGGCCTGCCCTTCAGCAAGACGAGTCTCCTGCAGGTGGGTCTGTGCCCGAAATCCCCGAGTGAGGGGGCAGTTCAGGCTGGGAAAGCCCTCGGCCGTCATCGAGTCCAGCCGTTGGTTTGCTTTGCCCAAAGCACCTGGAGGAGAGCTCAGTTCTGCTCTCAGGACACACAGGGGGTGCTTCCCGGGGGCTTTTCACTGAGAAAATGTGAAACTGGAATTTCGTAGTGATTGTTGTAGCTTTCCCTGGGCATCCTCAGCAGTGCTTGGTGTTTTTTAGGGCAGCCACTGAGACATGTTGGCTCATCCCTGTTCTGCTGGGAAACAGGAATTGAGGAAGTGATTTTTATCTTGTTGGATATAAATCTAAAATACGAATTTTTTTTGGTTCTTTACAGAAGCGACAGCAAAGGTGGAACAAGAATCCAAAGCCCCAGAAGTTCGTGTGGATCATTTAGAGGACACCAAGGACACCAAAACCCCTCCCAGCCCCTCCAAGGAGCCCCTTCCCGGGCAAACCAACCACCTTCCAGAACCAGCAGGTGGGAAAAGCAAACCCCAGGATAAAACTGGTCTCCAGCCCCTTCTGCCCCACCACAAGCACTGCTTTTCTTTGTCCTTAGCAAAGAAAATGCAACAAAGGTTGAATTTCAAGCAGCTTTCTCGTGTGTGCTGACACGGGGCTGTTATAAATCCGTGTTAATCTTAACATTTGAAGTTATCTTCATGTAACTTGTCTTTTTTCTTCCTCATCCGTAGTTGTTGTACCAATGTCTGTCATCATCTTCCTTTCTACTTAAAGTTTAAATAAAATTAATTACAGGGAGAAGTGTCCTCCCATGTAATTATGGCTCATAAATGAAAATGTGGTGTAATTAGGCATAGCAAGGGCTGGTGGAGTGTCTGCAGGAATGTACTGTAAGGTAGAGATGAATTCAAGGTGCTCAGCATTAGCCAGGGACTCCAGACTGATAATGGAGTTTGTTCTGGATCTGAATTCCAGTGGGAAGCTGGGACAGTCTGAATTAGGATGATTACAAAGAGGAAAAAAAAAACCCAAACAAACACTCACCCTGTGCTTAAGCCTGAAACAGTCTCTGCTCCATATTTTGCCTCCACCTTGGCATGTCTTGCAAAATATAAAATTGCTGCTTAAAATGGGTTTGTGAGGAGATATAATATAGGGTAGAAAACCATGTCTTAGAAACTTCATTCCTATTAACATAAAATTAGCCCTGTCGCCTTCCCAAGGGCCTCTTTCCATCTGCAACCTACCAGAATTGCTGAGACCTGAAGCTTCCCTGTTCCTGTTTTTCATGTTCCAGCTCCAGCAGAAGCAAAAGAAGACGTTGCACTAGAAAATAAAGACCTTCCAGAGAAGTCTGTCCCTGCTGTGGTTGTTGAGGCACAAAAGGAGGAGCCTGAGCACAACCACGTGGAACCTCAGCAAGGAGAGGCCCTGCCAGAGCCCACAGGTAGGACATGAATAATAATAATTCCATTTTTCCATGGAAATTGTCTCCTCTGTGAACTGCTCACCTTTCCCTCCTGGCTGTGGGGCCACCTGAGCAAGCAGGAGTCTCTTTGGTGTGGTTTTCGGAATTCCTGGTGCTGGCCTTGCACTTCCCTCTGGTCCCTGCCCTCTGAAAGACTCCTCCCCCCCTGCATTTCCACCTGAAACCCCAAATCCGTGTGCTCCAAGTACTTTCTCACTGGGACTGGCTCACAGCTTCTCTGCTGGAGGATGGAAAGCTCACCATGTCTCTGCCATCACCACTGGCTTTTCATTTTGGTGTTAAAAGGGCCGTCAATCCTTACTGCGATATTCCCAGTGTGGAATTCCAAATTGAGTTGTGCAACTGCCCAGGGAAGGTGTCGTTGTTGTCCTGCCTCTCCAGGAGCTGGTGGTGCCACGCTGGTCGTGGAAGGTGGATTTGTGGGCCAGGGCTGAGTGACAAATGGCTGATGCTCTCCTGAAACTCAGTGGCTTTGGAGCTGAGGGAGCCCTGAGGGGACACAGCAGGTGACTTTGGGACAGAGGTTCTGCCTCCCACCCTGGTGCTGGGGGAAACTTGGCTCTCATCCCCTCCATCTCTTCCCATCTCTCCACTAAACTTCTGTTTTCCCAGCCTGGAAGGGTGCCAGCTGGAGATATAAAAAGTCTCTCTCTCTCTTAATCTTGTCTTGCTCAGACAAAATGGATCCTCAATGCATTTTTAAAAAGCTGTAGCATGTCCTTAGAGGAACTGGTGCTTTTTGGTGGGGTAAGAGCTTCTGGCAGGACTTATTTTTAAAGGGCATTGACGATGTATTGGAAGTAATTAAACAGGTTCTGGGGGTAAATGTCTCCCCCAGCCCTCCCGAGGTGCCTTTAGTGCGGTATCGGGGCTGGAAATCCAGCCCGTGTGACTGCAGGGCCTGTTTGAGATGGCTCAAGTCGCATCAATAGTATATTTATTATTTTTTTTTTTATAGCGAGCAACCTAGTGGCTTTGATGTTTGAGGAGGCTTCTGTATTCCAGGTCTTCCCACTGCACAAGTCAGGCAAGCTCCCAAATCCAGTGCCCGCGGGTTTGGCAGAGCAAACGCTGCCCCAGTGCCTCTCACAGCTGTGCCAGAGGAACAGCCCGTAGGTCTCCCGCGGCAGAAGAGCCCCGAGCCCGTAGTGGAGCTGGGATGTGGGGCTGGAGCCTCCCCTCGCAGTAGGGTTCCACACAGAAAGGCAGCCCACGCCGAGTCTGTGGAGAGCTACAGGGATCCAGCCCGGGAAAACTGGGACTTGGAAGGTGCTGTGGGAAAGAAAAAGAAGAAGAAGCCCAAACAGAGGAGGAACCAGCTGCCAAGAGCGATGGAGTTCTGGGAGGAGAACGGAACGGCCCCTGGAGCTCCCAGGAATTCTCCGTTTGGGGCTGCGTGTCCTGTAGTGCCGGGAGCTGCCTCTGCCAGCAGAGCTCTGGATGTGCCCAAGGGGGCTGAAATAACAGCTGGGAGTCACATCCTGGATGAGCAGAAAGCCTCCTCAGTGCCGGCACCGGGACAGCAGGCCCCGAAATCCAGAGTGCCGGATGCCAGACCTGGGCACGCCGTGAAAGCAGAGGGGAGGAGGGGTGAAAGCTGGGTGCTGGAACGTGAGGGCAGGAGCAAAGAGGTTCCCTTGGAGCAGCTGGCCAAGACTGAGGTGGGGGGATCTGTCCCAGCAAAGGCACCCACCGAGCCTCTGGAAAGAGATTTTCCTGATAAAAACGAGAAGAGGGGGGATAAGGAGCCCAGATGTGCTGACCTGGTCAGTGTGAGCAAAGCAGAAACTCCCTTACAGAGCAAGCCTTCGGAATCGCCCCTTCCCGATAAAAACAAGGAGCCTAAAACCACATCTCCAAGTCAGGAAAGTCTCAGTGACCCTGTCCATCAGCCTTCCCGCGGGGCTCTGGAAGCAGCAGCAAAGAAAAACTGGGAAAAAAGCAACGGGGTTGGGAATGAATCCCTCAGAGAGGCTGGGCTGGAGGACAGAGTTCCTGCAGAGCCAAAGGCAGCTGGTGAGACTAAAGCAGGGCCAGAGGGAGGACTGAAGGCCCCAGGAGATGCTGCTGAAGGGCCGTTTGCACCCTCGGCTTGCCCAAAGCCTGAGGAAGCTCCTGCTGTGCAGGACAGGAAGGCCAACGGTGTTCCCGGTGCTCCCAAACATCCCAGCCCTGCCGAGGCTCCGGGCAGGGGGGTGGCAGCAGATTCCCCGGATCAAAACAAAGGGAAAGGATTTAGTGCCTCAGAGCAGCAGACTGGAAAAGATCCCGCTTTTACACACGGGATGGACAGGCCCAAAAAAAAGCGCGGGGAAGGGAAAGGCAAAAGAATGAAAAGCTTCCCTGAGCACGTGGTGCTCTCAGAGGATGGGAGCAAATCCCCTGACGGAGGGAGGGTGGACGAGGCAGGGAAAGAAACAACTTATCCCGACAGGGGCCAAGGTTTCCCTGCCAGAGGACACCCCTCAGGCAGCTCTGCACAGCCCTGGCCTGCAGACAAGCCCAAAAAAAGGGGCAGCGACGGAAGGAGTAGAAAAGGGGAAAGAGGTTTTTCCCTTGAGAATAAGATGGACCCCAGTGGTTTTGCTGAGCTGTCTGATAAAGTCAGGGAAGTCAGTGATAAGGGCAGAGAGGGGGGCTGTGTCACTGCTGGGTGCTCGCAGGACGATACAACTAAAATGCAAAGGCCAACCGAGGGGGTGCCAGAGAAGCCAAGAGAAAATGCTGGGAAAGATGAAAGGGCTGATCTGGGGGCTTTAGCCCAACCTTTGCTGCTGGAGAGCAGGAGGGAGGAAGCCAAGCATCCTGCCCTGGGTGACACCGTCAGCCAGACAAAAGAGGTGGATTTGGGTAATACAGGCAGAGAGGCTGCAGGTGCTGCCCGGGAATCCCTGGGGCTCAGTTCTAGTGGGACAGAGAAACCCAGGAAGAGGAGCAGTGATGGGAGGAGGAAACAGCCTGACAAGACTTTGGGGAAGGCAGCTGTCCTGGGGGCTGGGGGGGAAACGGGCCAGGAGAAGGTGGCTGGAAGCAGGAAGGAAACGACCTTGGATAGAGAGGTGTCTGGTTTGGAAAGAGGGAATCCAGCAGAGGTGCTGGGCAAGCCTGAAATTCAGGGTGGCAACTGGAGTGCCTCTCATCAGCCAGTTCCTTCAGGTCATAAAGTAGAGACATCAGAGCCAGGAACAGGCAGAGCTAAAGAAACTTGGCCCATGGATACAGGGAAGGATCCAGACAGAGCCCAGCCTCTCCCAGAGCGCAGGGCAGGGACACACAGTCCCACCAGGGACGTGGGGATGGACAAGGCCAAGGGTAAAACTAGAGATGTGAAAGGCAGAAAGACCGAGGATAGTCCTGAGCTGGGCCCAGGGAACGTCCCTGCAGTGGGAAATGTTAACCAGACTCAGGCTGGGAAAGGCAAAGGGGCTGATTCTGGGACTCCAGAGGCTCTGCCGGGTGACCTGAGCGTTCCTGCCAAAGAACAGGCTCCTGCTCTGCCTCAGGAAGCACAGAAATCACACCCAGGGAGCAAAGGGAAGCACAAACAGCTGGATCCTGAGCCACAGCAGCTGTTTGTGCTGGAGCAGAAAGCAGGAGCAGGGACGGGCCCTCCTCGTGACGGGGAGATGAGGGACAAACCTGGAGCTCCCAGTCCTCCCAGCAGGGACAGAAATCCTGTCCCAGAGCATCCAGCAGGGGCAGATCCCACCTTGGCCCCGGTTACTGAGAGGTCCAAAAAGAGGGGTTATGATGGAAGGAGTAAAAAAGCCCAAAGTGCCTCCAAGCAACCTGTTCTTCCAGAGACCAAACCAGCCAGGGGGGAAGCGCTGCCTCCCCTGGGATCCGAGCTGGAATACGGGATGGAAGGCACAGATCTTGTAGATGAGAACAGGAATATTAAAAACTTCCCCACTGGCCCTGAAAGGCTCTGGGATAATAAAGGAAGTGACTTCCAATCCTTGGCTCAGAGCACAGTAACTGGCCCTGGGAATGTGGGAGATGCTTCCTGTGGCTTCCCAAAGCAGAGAGATGGGGGTGCAGGGAGTGGGGGGCTTCCTTCCCCTGCTCCTCCTCCTCCTCCTCCTCCTGAAGCAGTGGCAGAGAAAAGCAGCAAAAAGCCCAGAGCTGGTGCTGAGGAGGAGACACAGACCCAGGAACGTTGTGAGCAACCCATCCATCTGGGGCACAGGGAACCTGGAGGAGAGGTTTCCAAGGGAGATGGGCAAAGCAGAGAGGCAGCTGGTGCCCAGGGGGGCAGTGGGGCAGGGAAACCACCTCTGTTGGCTCCTGCAGCCAAACAGGGGGTTCAGTCAGAGAAGGACAAACTTCACCTTTCTCCTGTGGAAAAGGTGGATGATAAAGAAGTGAAAACCACTGATGAAAAGCACAGCACTGACAAGGCTCCCTTGGAGAATAAAGCTGGAGAGGCTGAGCTGGCTGGAGGCAAGAGGAGTGAGAAGAGCTCGCTCAAACAGCCAGGGAGTGTGGCTGAAGCTGAGGCTGCTCGTTTAAATGTGGCAGCTGCCCAAACAACCCAGATCAGTCCTAAAGAGAACAAAAAAGGTCCCTCTCAGCCTGCAGAGGAGGGGGATGCTCCTGGTGGCAAGACTCACCTGAAGGAGACTCCGGTGTCGAAGTCTGAGGCAGATAAACCTCAAGACACAACCAAAGAAAAGGAATCTCAGGAGACAACCAAAGAACAAGAAACTCATGAGACAACTAAAGAAAAGGAGTCTCAAGAAAAAACCAAAGAAAAGAAATCTCAAGACACGAATAAAGAAAAAGGAACTGAAGACACAACCAAAGAAAAGGAGTCTCAAGAAAAAAACAAAGAAAAAGAATCTCAAGACACAACCAGAGAAAAGGAATATCAAGAAGAAACCAAAGAAACTCATGACACAACCAAAGAAAAGGAATCTCAGGACGTGACTAAAGGGAAAGAATCCCAAGACACGAGT